AATATAACTATCATTCTTGATTTGCATTTTCAGGACTCTGAAAATGGTGCCATCTTTCTGCCAAAAATGATTTTGGGTCTTTTTGTGTGCATGTGTGTGATAATTCCATGTGGTAAAGCATGTGTGGGTAAGTTACTATGGGTTGGGAACATACTTATTTTTTTTCAATTGCTTTGACACAGGGCTGCCAGGACCAGCTAATGGTATGATTATGTCACAAGAGTATGGGCTGAAGTATTATACACTGCAGGGATATTGAGGCTCATTCAGATAATCTGTTTTAATGTTTAATGTTGTTCCCCCCCTCCCCCAAAAGTGGCTTTTTGTCACTAAACGTAGCTCACTGTTACAGGCTCTGGGGGTGCAAAGTGGAAATTGGTTGTCCCTGTTAGGAAATGAAAGAGTTTACATTTTGAAGTATTTCCAAGATCAGCTTATCCCAAATGGTGACCCTCCAGATTCCCAGAATCCTCAGCTAATGCCTTGTGAGAGTTGTAATCCCAACATACCTGGAAGGTTCAAGATTGGTAAAGACTGGTGTATGTGTCAATCTGTATAATTTGCAAGGTCCAAGCTAAGTTTTGACAATACCTTTGGTGTGCTGGCTGTTAAGAAATAAATGAGGTATCAGATTACAGTACATTACATAGATTGACAGGATGTTATAATTGCTTTACATTCCAAAATCAGGGAAATAATAACTTCAGTTTAATTTGGATGAAAGACCACCTGTGAGATGTTTCTGAATACTCCAACAGCTTTGCAGTTTTAAATCTTATTAGTACACAAGCTCCGAGAATTCAGGGCTTTGCAGTACCGGACTGAAAAAAGGTTCAGAAGTGAGAAGAATTGGCAGTATCAAAGTGATTGATCTCCCTGCGTGTATGTAATATGGGTCAAATCCATGTTTGGCTTGAAATTTTAAAAGCCCTCAGAGAGATTAATGTTTTCCCTTTAGCTTTCTTGTCTTTCTAGAATAACTAGAATGACTACAATAGCTGGAATACATTGGTGGTTTTATTAGTCTGTTCATGAAATTTCTTGTTGATGTCTTAACATGCTTAAATTGATGAAGCTGGTCTTTCCATCTGATTTAAAATTTTCTTACCCACTGATTGGCTTATTACAAATATGCTTATGTTCAGTGGTGCATTGAAAAGTCACACAAATAGAAAGGGTTTATCTTGAATTTATATGAATTTCAGCTTAGATAAAAATGGACTCATGTTGCACTAATACCATGGAATTTTGGCCAAGGTTTGTTGAAGAAGCCATAAGAACTGGATTCATATATAGCACTAAACTACAAACTATGGTTTATAAATGACAGGAGCTAGTTGTATAGATATGTTATGCCAGTGCTAGATAAATGATAAATGCATGATATGAGTTCTCAAGTATGAATTTAATGACTTAAGTAACCAGTATAGAATTGGTGAGCCTTGTCCCATGACAGTTAATCCTACAGGGAGCTCAGAACTGGGGTTAATGGGATCAGTTGACAGCTAATCATTGAGGTTAATGGATGGTTAATTAGAATATAAGAACCTTTTCAGGTCTGGTGCTATTTTACTGAAACCACAACAGGTTATTATGCAAGATACTTGGCATGAAATCTTCCTTTTCATCCTCTTCTAATTCCTTGCTAATGAGACATATACACTGATTGCTCTTCTGTAATCACAGTACCGAACTGATGGAACAACTCCATTTATATAGCTGGTTCAAGGCACAGTGGTGTCCTAGAAAGCTCTTAGACCTAGTGTATGGTTTCTAAGGCATATTCCGTAGATTAGCATCATGTGCCAATCAAGCCACTGTGCCTTAGTCAACGAATCATGATTAATGAAATGATAGCTAGGCACACTGTAAATATAACCCCAGAATCTAAGTGAGCAAAGGTGTATTTTCATCTGATTTTAAAAGGATTCTAAGGTGCTCTTGTAAAATGCAGAATGGCTGTGTTTGTGATGCTTGCTCACAAATTTGAGTGGGCTTGAAATGGCTTCCTCAGGTCATATATTAAATATCATGCTTTGAACAAATTCCTTTTTTCCTTCATGATCCCAGGCTTTTTCTAGTAGTCAAGCTATATTTTGGGTTTTCTGATATCATGAGGTTTTTTTTAATCAAAAAGTGAAATTCTTTGATAATTGAGTCCTGGAAAAAGAATTGTTGTCAGTTGCGCAATCCTATTGGCAAAAATGGTTGTCTATAGCACAGAATCCTTTTTAAAAATAATACTGGATAGTATAATAAAATACATTGCCTAGCTTTTTAGTATCTGTTGCATTTTTGTGCAAAGAGAGTTCATGGAAATACAAGATCTGAGGACTTGTGTTTTTTGTCTAAACTACTGTCCTTATGTATTCATTATTATTTATACCGTTGTAGTCACTATTTCTTTAAACCATTTATACCTCACTTTTATGTCCTGCCTTCCAGCCTGAAATGCTGTCAGAACAATTTACAAAATAAAAACCAAAAAAAAAAAAAATCTCTGCCTTCAAAGTTATAAGGTAAATTAGACTTTAAAAAGGTATCCCTGAGAAGGAAAACAAAGCAGAGAAAGAGAAGGAAAAGAATACATGGCAAATGAATTTAGTTGTGGGCTTCTCGTGCATTATGATTTTGTTGGATATATTGTGGCTTGGAGTGGACTAATTAGTCCCCCAAAGTTACTGTTGTAATGGGGGTTGGTAAGGAAGGGAGTGAGTGCTCAATCCCTCTTGTCATGATCTACTGAAGTTCTCTGCTGGGTACAGAGGAGGGGTTTTCTTTTTTGGCAGTGAGCTTGATTTCTAGCATTGCTATTCCAGCCCACTGACTTTTCTGCATAGGCTTTCTTATAACTGTCATTCAAAAGCATAAGTAAAAGATGAGTGTTTCATCCTGGATGAAGAAATGTTTAAAGTGGACAGTTCTATTGCTACTCAGATGTTATTACCCTCAGATGTTGTTGAACCACAGCTTTCCTTGTCCCTGCCCACTAACTGATCCATTTAGAGGTGATGGGAGTCAACAATATCTAAAGGTTGATTGCAGGTTCTCCACCCCTGCTCTAAATGATTTAAACAGCAGGCTGTCTTCTCTTATATATGTTACTTAATTGTTCATTAAGAGCATCTCTTCTATCTTGAATATAATAGTAGGCTGTACAGTAGCCTTCCCCAGTCTGGTACGAGGAGTATTGAGCACTGACTCCCTTCCTTGCCAACCCCCATCACAACAGTAACTTTGGGGGACTAATTAGTCCACTCCAAGCCACAGTATATCCAACAAAACCATAATGCACGAGAAGCCCCTAGACTTGAAATCATAAAATGCATGAGTTGGAAGGCACCATAGATCATATAGTTTAACCATCTTCTGCAGGAATCCACTAAACCATCGCCACAGATGGCCATTTGAAAACCCTTTAGTGAAGGTGAATCTACTACTGATCTACTTAATAGCTCTTACCATCATTAAATTCCTCCTAATATTCAGGCTGAATTTCCTGTCTTAATTTCAATCCACTGGTCTTTGACCTCCTCTCAGTTTCAACATAGGACAAGTGTGCTGCTACTTGCATGTTACAGCCTTTTTGGTATTCGTAGATAAATATCATATACTCCCTTAGACTTCTTTTATTGGATTATGGTTTTTGTCATTTGCAACAAAAGCAGTGTGATTATTGTGTTAGTTGGAGATAAAAAGAACTAAACTGTTGCACACATTAAGGCACCAGTTTGGGGAGGACTGGTCTCTAGGACAGGATCTGCTCAATTCTAATACTGTGAAATTCCCTGCCTAGAGGCATGCTTTAAAATCCCACCTGTTGTCTCTTAAATGGCATGTTGAGACAGTTCACGTAAGCGTTTTGGATGTGTATGGTGGCTCTCCTGTAATTTGTAGTTATTAGTTATGTTTTTATGGATTATTGGTTTTTAAAATGAGATAATGTATAAAAATTAATGAATAATAATTATTGGCTGTTCAATTCTTCAGTTCTGCCTGGAAGATCTGGGGAGAGAGCAATATAATCCCAAGGCAGGCAATGCAAGCTTGTCATTCTGCAACATTCTTGGTCCCGTGATTGAAAACCCACAGGCTAATTCCTGCTTTTATTTCTAAATTCCTTTGTTTCAGCAATTAAAGGAAAGGGGAATTTTAAGAACTAGTTAAAAAGAATTTTGACCTTTGTGGCTTAATATAATGGATGATGTCAGAATGAGTTTGACATTCCAAGCACATTTTTAATCAAGCAATATTAGTCTGCCATGTTCTCTCAAACTTCTATTTGATAAAAGGAAAATAAGTGAACCAAAGCAAAGGAGAAATGGCAGCCTAACAAATGATTTCAGTGCTTTATTTTAGTAGAGAGGGAAACCTAATGTTGGTATCACATTTGGGGGGGGGGGGAAGTAACTTTTAATCCAAAGAAGAAGAGGTGAAACATCTAGATATCTCCGAATACTATTCACTGTCATTGTGGAAGGTAATTAAGGGAATTATCTTTGTGGAAGAAAATTAAGGGGAATTCCTGATTGCCTGCTAAGAGTTTCAGGGTTTAAAGCATTTCAGCCCAGTAACACTCAGAATTTGGTAGCTCTTTTTTAGTAATTAGTTTGTATGAGCTGTGCAGAAATTATCAGTCTTCAGAATTTGCTTCTCCTGAAAAGATTAACAGTTTGTTTTTGAGAACTCTTAGAAACGCTTAGAACATTTTTGGTGAGTAGCAGGGTATTATAATTGCAGAAAATGCTGTTTTATCTATTCTGTTTATGAACACTGGTTTACATTCTGATAGGCATCCAGGTTTACATTCTGATAGGCTTCATCCTTGAATTGTGAGAGTCATATAGCTTGAAAATCATTACTAAAATGTTATCGCATGCCTCTACATTCAGATGAGGCTGGTTTTCCTGAGAACTTTTTCTGGAAGAAGATTTTGACTGGTATACCATTGCATAACTCTGAGAACTATATTTAAATTTCTTAATTGTGTTCTTTTCTAGATGAACACAAAGATGTACAGAAGAAAACTTTCACCAAGTGGATAAACACTCGTTTTTCTAAGGTAAGGATGGCTTATGGTGACTCTTCTCTAATCTCTTGCTTTCCAGATGTATTGAGTTTCCATGCCAGGTATTTGCAGAGAGCATTGAAGTGATCTTCCACATATCTAGAGAGCATCAGGTTAAGGAAGGCTGGCTTAAGTTATGTACAGTAAAACATAAAATCTTCAGTTATGTGTTGGATTAAAATACGTTGTATTTTCAGATTCCCAGCAACATTTTCTTTTTGCGCCTGAGTTCCTTCTTCCCTTGCCTAACTCCAGTTTGCAGAATTTGGTAAATGCATAACTTTTTGAAATACCTTTCATTATAAAGGGCCCCCTAATAGACTGTGTGCATTATATGTTTCTTGAAAGCTGCCTGTGTTGGCGGAACCTTCTCCAGAGATTCTGACCTTTCTGAAAACAAATGTTTGATTCATTGTCTTTTAAAATCCACACGCAGGAATACTACAGTTCTTTTCAGAGCTGTATGGCATTGTCAGCAGTTTGTGTTGGGATTTCTGCCAGTATCAGGAATGCAACTCCAAAGTAAATCTTTTGCTTTATACAGCAAAGAACAAAGTCATTTCATATCCAGTGATGCTGGTATGGGTGCTCAGTGTGACCTTTTGCCCAAATGAAGATCTCAGCCAAATGCAAGGTTATGTAACTTGGATAGAGCATTCCCTTGTAGATTTGGGTATATCTGTATATGATGTCCTTACAGCTGTGCATTCCTCCACTTAGTAGTACAGTACAGTTAGAGATTGAATGTAGCTATAATTTGGATAGCACAAAACTAAGGTTGGGGGTTTGCGCTCCCTGTTTTTTATTTATATATGTTAAATTTTATTAGCGTTGATGGCACCGTGTCTGAAAGCATCCTGTGATGCTTACTGTAAAGCACCTCTGATATAGTTTTGATAAATACTTTAGGTTGGTTCTAGCATAGTGTTGTATTAATGCATCAGTTTTGTAATTATTTTTGAAAATCATAGAAATCATCATGCTTGATGATGCTTGTAACCCATACAAATCTAAGGACAAACCTGAATCTCTTTGGTTGGGGTGGCAGTGGGGGAAAGACCGATTGCAGAATGATTGTTAGCCATATTGTCCCAACCTTTCACTTTACCTTTCTTAATTAACACTTGGGATAGGCAACTTGGTACCTTCTAGATGTTTTGGACTACATTTATCATAATTCCTTGCCATTGGTCATACTGGCTGGGGCTGATGAAATTCAGACTATCCGGAGAATATCATATTGGATAGTAGTCTACTTTAGAAACTTTGTACAACAATGGGTTGAAGGCTGATGAAATGAGCTGTGTAGTATCATCATATGTCTAATTTATTTGTCTTGGTAAAATTCACTACTTAGCATGATGTGCTGTGCAGTTTAACAGCTCTGTTCAAATAATAAAATGTTGAGATAATAAGGATTCTGTGTAAGAACATTTCTGTATAACACTTTAGTAAACATAAAAGTTTTTAGATAGAAAATACCTTTCATTTTATTGGATTGCAATTGTTAAAAATAAAATTTAGGACAATTAGATGTGAATTGAAAATGATGATCTCCAGTTTATTGCCTGTAGTTTAAACTATTGCATTCAGATTGTTTTAAGGTCACTATTTTAACCTCTTTCAAAAATAATAGTATCAGCAATAAAATGTAGTATTTGCTTTTCCTCCCCTTCTGCACATGCAGTGAACTGCACTTCTTGAGCAGCTTATTGGACTGACAGAGTAAATAGCAGCTCCTATCTCAGTGTTGTCCAAACTTGGCCACTTTAAGATGAGTGGACTTCAACCCCAAGAATTCCCCAGCCAGCCATGCTGACTGGGAATT